TGCATCTCTTCAGCCCGAAATGCACAAATTATTGTATATTCCTCCAACAGAATACTACTCAACAGTAAAAAGAATGACTATTAGGCATGCTACAACATGGATAAATCTTATAATAATTATTCTGAGTGAAAGAAGCCAGACAAAGAAATAAAAAGAGTATATACTGCATGATTCCATTTCTATAACATTCTAGAAAAGTACAAGCTAACGTGATAGAAAATAAATTGGTGGTTGCCTGTGTATGGGAATGAGGAGGGGTGAGAGCAAAGGATTATAAAGGGCATAGGACCCTTGAGACTGATAGATATATTCATTATCTTAACTGTGATTGTTAGCTTCATGGTTATATACATATGTCAAAATTTATGAAAGTATACATTTTAAATATGTGTAGCTTATTGTATGTCAATTATATTTCAACGAAGCTGTTTTAAAAACTCATTGAACTGTATACTTAAGATCTATGCATTTCATTATATGCAAATTATATCTCAATTAAAAAGTTATTTAAAATTGCTCTTCTTTGACCTGGAGTTGCTGGCTGGCCCTCCGAATGCCATTGACAGCCACCAGGCAGTGCCACTTTGGGTTGGTCCCTTTTTTTCTGGGAAGCTATGTCCTTTTGTCAAAAGCCTGGCTGGGATCTGAGTGCCTCACCAGCTCTAATGTCTGTAGTTTGGTTAGTCTAAGGATGAACAGAGAATCCCAGGCAAACAGTGATGGCAGAGGGTTAAACCAGACCAGATTTCCAGTCCAAACCCTGGGGCAAAGGCTAAGCCACTTTAAATTCCATCCATCTATCCTTGCGTGTTTGCACAGCAAAGAACCTGTTGTAATCAAAGTACTGATCTTGGAGCTGGGGCCAGGGAGGCTGGAAGATGGCAAATATTGACACAGGCTGCCAGAGTTCTCCCTGCAGGCTGTGGCATTAAGTCCCTTGCTCTGCTGATGTGAACCAGCGGAGGGCCCTGCCTGGTCCCCCTGGGCTCTGGTGTCTTTCTGGACCTGGCTTATGGAGTGCTTTTTGGAATGCTACGGCATCTGCTTCTTTATAAAAGGAAGAACCAATAAATAAGAAAAGAACAAACACTGTTCTGCCAGCATCAGCCACCTCCTATTTACAGGCTGTGCTCCCTGGCCTGGGCTCCAACTTGCTCTTTCTGGGGAGCCCTGGATAAGAAAGAGTGATACATTAAGGAGGAGATATGGTGGGCTCTGGATTTGTTCCTATCAAGGTTTGCTCCTCTGTCTTTTAGAAGATGTGTGATCTTAGGCAAGCAACTTCATGCCTCTGTAAAGCACACATAACCAAATCAGGTTCCTAGAAAGGCTGTGAGGATTAGAGAAAATGAGCTTCAAAAGACAAGACATACAAAAGTTTGCAATGGTGCTTGGCATGTACTGAATGCTCACTAAATATTCATTCAATCCCCTAGCACAGCACGTGGCACTCCCTTTTCTTCTGCTTGAAGCTTTACTGTTTCCCAGTGACATTCACATACTGTTCTCACTTTTTCCTCTTCATAAGCCTGCAAGATAGTCTGGCCATGACGTCCTTATTCCTGATGTACAGAGATGGTGAGCCTTCCCTGCAGCCCCTCCTCAGAGGGAGTAATCCAATGTGCCCCTCCTGCTCAAATCCTCTGCCAGCACTCTGCAGCCTGGACTCAAGTTCAATTCCTGCAGCCCAGAATCTGAGGCTCTTCCTCACACTGCAGTCACGGGGAACTGCTTCACATTCCTCACCCAGGACTGCCCTGTCCGTGCTTCTCACTTGGCTTCATCACCCCTGCTCAGGCATCATCAGGCTTCCAGACTTCACGAGACATAGCATAAAACAGCAGACTACCCTAAGTGTCCAGACATCTGGCTCTGCATCCCATCGGTCATGTGCCCTGCAAGCTGCCTGACCTGTCTAAGCCTCATGTAAAAGCAGTACCTTCCTCTGAGCATTGTAGATAGAAGGAGCTCTTAGCACAGAGCCTTGTTCTTAGTAAGTGCTCACCAAGTGCTAATGTGTGCAGCTAAACACCTGGCTTTTATGCTTGTGACATCTGAATAAATCTTGAGAGTATCATGCTAAGTGAAATAAGTGAGACGGAAAGGACAAGAACCATATGATTTTCGGGATATAAAACAAAAAGCAGTAAATAAAATAAACTCATAGACACAGATAACAGTATGGTAGTTACCAGAAGGGAAGAGGGTCGGGGGAGAATAAGGAGGGTAAAGGGGTTCAAATATATGGTGATGGAAGGAGACTAGACTGGGTGCTGAGCACACAACGCAATATACAGATGTTATATGATAGAATTGTACACCTGAAACTTAAATAATATTATTAACCAATGTCACCCCCATACATTTAATTAAATTTAAAAAAAAGAAAAGAAACCTGGCTTTTAGTCCTCACCCTGCTACTGACATGCCCAGTGGACTTGGATAAGTTGGTCTCAGCCTTGGTTTCTCCATCCCATGTAATGAAGCATTTGTACCCCCAAGAGCCTGTGGAAGGGCTTGGTTGGGAAGACAGGGTAAAACGAGGTGCAATCGGTGGTGCTAATGTCTTTGGGCATTTTTCTGAGAAGAGCTCTAGGCCACTGAGGAACACCAGGATTGAATGACCACCAAGGTTCACCTGCCTCTCTCCTGCAGGGCCCAACCACAGCACCACCAGCCCCTGCTGGGAACTGGGTGTTCTCCTGCTGCCTGACCCACCAAGGCCTGACCCACCAAGGCAAACACAGGCTCATGTTCCTTTGGCCTCTCCCTAGTGACCTTGTTTTCAACGACCAATGCTCTGAGCGTCAGGAACATGTTGGCATTTGAATGTCGAAATGAACTTCTGGGAGTTTTTCTTGTTCCTCAGGAACCAACTCAACCTTTTCTTCTCCCAGAGACTGATATCCTGTTAGAGAAGGTATGGCCCAGGGCAGGAGGCCAGGTGCTCCTTCTCAGGCCCCCAGACTCCTTTGCCTTCCTCTTCACCTCCCTGACCCCTCCCCCTAAGGCCCAGGTGTTCCACCAGTAAGTAGCCCTTAACCACTCCCTCTTCTCTGCCCAATTGGTCCAAGCCCTGGCATCTTTTTCTTGGAGTGTTATAATTAAAGGTCATTGTATCTCCAGATAGTGTTCTTGCTTATCACGCCTTGATGACACCCACTGTCCTTCAGATGAAGTGTGACACACTATGCTCTCCAGGATCGTGTCACCACTCACCTCCTACTGTCTTCTCCTACCGATGCTTTGGCCTCCTTGAATCACACTGGCATGGACTGGTTGAGCTGTACCCTGTCACACCCCCTTGCCTTCATTCACAAGGCCTCTCAGATGGGAATGCCCTTCTCCTCTACCTGTACCACTGGACCTTCTCCTGGGCCTCCAGAGCCAGCCCGAGAGCCCCTCCTCTGAAAAGGAGGCCCTTCTGGATTGGTCATGAGAACCCAGGATGCCCTGAGCATGCAAGCAGCTCCTCACTTGTGCTGCAGTCAGAGAGAAACAGCCGAAGTTGCCAGTGCCCAGGGCTGACCATCCCTCGGGCAGGTTCGCTGAACCACCCTGTTCCAGGGGCTGGTCCTTACGTCGTCCGGCTCAGAAACATGATTGCGCCCTGGCTCCTGCAGGCCCCTCCTTGGTGCCCTCAGCCTAGCAATGCCTGCTGTCCCACCCATCTGTCCATGGTGTGAGACGTCTCCTTTGTGAAACCCTGTGCTCCTCATATGCTGGGATCCAGGTCTTTTCACTCCTGGGTGCCCGGCACTCGGTTGACCCAGAGCAGGTGCAAAGAGACTGTTTAGTGAGTGATGAATGAACCAGAGCTCACCTGTCTCTCAGTTGCCCATTTTCAGTTTAAAATTCACACGAGACTGATATATAAAACTGACTTTATTCATTTCCAATGGGGGATTTGTCCATCTCCCTCAACAGGAACCTTTTTGGGGCCAGATTCCAAGTCTCTCAGAACAAGGGTGAGACACTTTCTGACCCTCAAGCTATTTTTAAAAATACCCCACAGGGATTCTGCATGCCCCTCTCCCCCCAGCCAAGATATAATCACATTGGCGGCAGGAAAGGCTTCAGGGTTGGGACACCACAGACTGTGTTGGAGTCCCAGTTCTAACAGTGACTTTGCTGTATGATCCTAGACAGGTCATTTCTCCTTCTAGGCCTCAATTTCCTTATTTGTTTAATGGGGATATCCATCCTTGGCTCTCTGGGTGTTTTGAAACTGGAAAGGTATGCAGAGAAACAGCTCATCCATACTCAGGCTCTGGGACCAAAATACAATCCCTACTACAAGAAACCTGGGCTGTTTGGCTAGGCACTGGTGACAGGGTGGAGGGCAGAAAGTGGTAGGGTAGAGAATGGGATGAACAGAAGGGCTACTCTTTCTCCAAACCTTCTAATCCACAGCTCCTAGATGGCTTCCTACTCATGGGATGACGAATGCTGAATATCAAGTGCAATCTCCTGTGATCAGTCAGTAGGGCCTGCTAGGATTACTGACATAAGAAAAATAATAAAGCTGCAGCCAAGCCCAGAAATATCTGCTTTAGGTACTAAAAGGACAGGAAGTGGCATGTACTTCACATATGTGCCATTCATAAAGGCTAACCTCCTTGGCTTGGTGTTTGAGCTCAGACTTATCTTTTCTCCAAGGGGTGATAAGGTCAGGATCTGTAAGCCTGTAATGGAGCAGACAAGCTGTTTTCCTCTGTGGGGCCCCAGAGGCAGGCCTAAAATTGTGGAAGCAGATTTCCCTCATCCTTGTTGGGAGCTGCCTAACATGATAGTGAGCTCCCTGTCACTGGAGGTATTCAAGGAGAAACCGAACATTTTTAAAGTAGTAAAGGCAATTCTTATTCAGAGGCAACAGCGCATAGATCTCACTAGATGATCTTGAAGGTTCCTTCCTGTCTTCATGTTCTTGGATTTGACTCTCATGTGAAGGGTTATCAGTGCCATTCCAACCAACTTCTCGCTCTGGCCTGGGTGCCCACTCAGAGTCCAGGACAGGAGTACTCATCGGACCAGTCGGAGCAGTGTTGCACGTGGTCCCGGCAGAGGCTCCTTGGGATACAGCCACAATACTTGAAGACAGTTGAAGGGCAGCGCCACCACCCAGGGCCACAGGGTGGGCACACAGTCACTAGGGGGACAAGAGCCAATGGAGTAGAAGCTGCAGTGTCCTGGAGTGTGCCAAATACCAGGACACTCCCTAGTTCTAACACCTGCCATGGCTCCCTAAAGCTCCATGCCACCTGGCATAGGTTGACTGTATTCCTTATTTCCCTGTGGGAGAGAGAATCTAGACCCCAACTCATAGGCTGTGTGACCTCAAGCAAGTCTCTGACCCCATCTGAACCTCAATTTCCTCATCCGCTCAAGGTTGTTATTAAGCAAGAGTGCCAGGCACATGGTCAGTGTTCAGATATTAATGCATATTGTCTCCCCAGCCCTCCCTCCCTCCATCACCCTGACTCAGCCACACCAGCCCACTTAGGACTCCCTGAGGATGTCTCGCAGACTTCCCTCCTTCGCCCTGTAACTTTGACCTCCGGCATTCT